CTTAGGTATTTTTAAGTATGTACCTTCCTATATGTACATGCATATAAATGGCCTAGAAGGGCCAATTCATCTGTACATCAGGTTAGGTAAGTAAAATACCCGACGTACCCTACGCTGGGTACCTGCCCGTCTCTGGTGGGGCAGATATTGAATTAGGGGGCATCTCAAGTACCCCACTGCGCGTACGCGAGCTACTGCTAGAGGGCGCTGTTAAAATACTAACACTGGAGGGAGCGGGAGCCAGGCAGAGGAGGTGGGTACCTAATGTGGCTAGAGCGGGATATTATTGCTGCTTACCTCCAACAATAATGTATACGATATATTAGAAAGTGGCCTACCTTTTCGGACGGATGCACCCAGGGGCCGTTACTTCGGCATCGTGTTGACTGTATTCTGCACCCAAGTCCTATCACGTAAAGGTATCCGCCCGTTGCTGTCTCGCTCTCTTTTAGGGGGCGGGTTTAACTTCCCTTCTCTTCTGCTATATCTAAAGCCACGTCAGACAGGATGACAGGTGATAGATGGACGGTGTACATCCGGATTAAGGGAAGGGGTTCATCATTATACCCTGACGGTAGGTACCTTAGGTACCTATAGATACACACATATGTACATATGTGTGTGTGGATTGACGTATTTTGGAGTGCGACACTTCTGTCCCTCCATCAGGTGATCAGACAACCAACCCACCTCTCTGCCCCTCCATGGCGGGTGGAACTTGCGCATATACGTAATGCACATACATACTACCTAGGTACCTAGGTACCTAATAGTTATAGAGGTATGCACGTAGCGCAATCAAACGTAGGCACCGTTAGTAGAATGTAATATGTGGCGTGTATACCAATAATGCTACCAACGCGACTACTCATACACTTTGCGGCACTTTGCGGTACGCATTCCACGTCTCCTCGTGTCCAGTAGGATGACCTCGAAATGTCCCAACGACACGATACCCAACGTATAGGTAGAGGATTACCCGAAGTCCTCACTCACAGTAAGGGCTGACGTGCAAATGCACTAGCAGGTACCTGCTACCGTGCATGCCTTGCATTAGATGCATACCAGGCGTGCGTTATACATACCTCCTACAGGATGGACGTCTGCCATGGATGTCCGCCTACCACATTAGTGCCCAGACTAGAAGAGAGAGGCACTCTACCTACCTCCCAGAGTAGATACCTACCTGGGTACAGGTATGTAGTAAAAGTCTCAACCCACCAACCCTCAACGATGATGACCCAAGCAACCCGGACGGTCCAGGGCACCCACCCTCTTAGACTACCCAAACAGATCTCCCTGCGTCAGCCGTATTCCATGCAACGGAGCACCCAGCACACTCCGGCTGCATGTCTAGCCTGTTGCCGGTTGATGCTGTCAGCAAATGAGCAGCAATGAACATGGGGCCGAGTGATCCCGCGCAGACAGCCAACCCCATCCGTGAATTCTAGGACCCAAGGTGTACTAGAGGGGGGAGTCACACACACGTGTATGTATGTATATATATATATATATATATATATATACGAATATCTGCCTGCAAACCCTCATCCATCAGGAGACGACGGAGGGCAGGGTGTTCCCTACGTCAACAGCTGGCATGGATGCGTACATATGTGTGCGCACATCTTCACATCTTCATTTTCGTTACCACGATTCATGCAGTCATCTTGTCTTGGGACATCGACCAACCTGGCAAACATGCCTCTCCGTGACCAAGCTTCAGCGCTAACATCGGACTTGTTGTCTCTCGGAGGTGTGCGAGGGATGTGCAGCACCATGCTAGGATTAGGAAACGCTCGTTGGGGTGCCAGTCGATGAGTTCCCTCCCCCTAAGCCTGCAACCATTCCGGGTCGCCCTCCCGAATGCATCATGATTCGATAGGTCTTATTTGTTTGTTATTGAGGAGGTAGTGATTATGTACATGCATACACTGCAAATTCCATCGTCTTCTGCTCTTGCGATGCATGTACCTCCTAACCACACATACATGCAAATGTATGTATACCACGTAAAACATATGTACCTATAAGGAAGAGGTGGAACGACTCGGCAATATCGAGTGATGTTGAATGCTGCTGAAACTGCACCCATTCCACCACCTCGTCACGGCCGTCGCTCCATTGCCCACCACCATCATATCACCCTTCTCCAAGCCTATGTATGTATTCTCCAAGTCTACGTGCTGGCTAATGCAACGGTTGAAGCCTGCCTGCAGTAGGCGTGTCCACCGGCCAGGGGGCTACCCCAGCGAATCCCAATGGCGCTTCTTGTCGTCGCTACCTCCTCCCAAGGATACACCCAACCACTCATGACCATCACCTTATGTAGCAATGTAACTGACTCCGCGATCTATGGTGGTGGTTTATATGTACGTACATCGGTGCTGCTTCCCCTGCACCACCTTGACCGCATTCTACATATACTATCTCGATCATCGAAGGCTCTCTCGACACGGTAACCCAACTCGCCCAGACTCCCAATACCATTGTAGACTGCCGCGTGGGCCGAGCGGTCTAGGACAGCTCGAGGCTGCACTGCCGGGGAGAAAAGAACACTGCTTGAGGACAATAACAAGCTTCTAGCCTCCAGCTTCTAAAACCTTTGGCCATCAAACACTTTGACTCTGATTTCTCATATGTGCGGGGTTGCTCGCCCTTCTCTCGGCAGTGTGTGTATACTTGATGACATATCGCGATGGAGGGGGCGGTCTAGACCTGCTTGAATATGCCCATGGACGTTGGCACGGTTGCTGGGTGTCACTAGGGCGGAAAGGTCCCAAGAAACACACCTTGGATAGCAAGACGATATGCAACATCTCGTGGCGCGAGAGGTTGGCAAAGCTTTTAGGCAAAACGCCCTCCGACTCGCAATAAAACGACGTAACGAGCGGTCGGTGAGCAATGCCAAGATCCATCCCAGAGTCCCTTACTAAAGTGCGGCTCTATTTGGTATTTTTATATTAAACCCCACCCTCGAACACATTGGTTACTACACAACCTGATATCTGCAGTAGGCACTGTGCCTCGTTACTCGGAGGAACCACATCTTATAAAGACAGGTAGAGCCTGTATGGACTTATTTATTCAATGAGATGACCAGTGCCTTTGGTTACTTTTGTCTACCAGTGGAATATTCCACGGGCTTACGGACGACTATGTACCATTGGAAATGGTACGCTCTTCCACCACAAACATTGTTGGTAACTTGGTTAAGTCAACCCAACGAATATCAACGCCTTCACTATGTAATTGAAAGAACCCCCAACACCCTCCGTAACCGCAACGAGGATACCAAATACCTACACGAACTCGTGGGATATGTTGAAGACGAACCCGGACAAGCGAGTTAACTAGAACCAGGGACAACTCAGGGATAGTAGCCTTGGAGAGGCTACAAAGATGATATACCTATAAGGACTAGGGATGGCTAAGATTCACATAAACATAATACAGCGAGAAGGGATCGGCCCTGCTGTTGCATCTAGGTACCTACCCAGGCGGTACCTAAGGTAGGTAGGAAAGCTGCGTGTACATACCGTTGGTCGTTTAGTACTGGTGTTTCATACCCGACCTGTTCACAACTGTAGGACCTGTCCTAGATCGTAATAGGAGGCAGGAAGCGCTTTTTGCTGTTATTTCCTTGCCTCCACACCGTCGTTCTCTTACGTAGGTAGGTAGTAAAATGCCCACCAGACCCCAGCCTCCTCATGATCGTGATTTTCCACATGCCTGTATCGACATATACTGTAGAGCTTAGGTACTAAATTGTCTTACGGGTAGGCGCCTTACAGGTACTCACCTACTTAGGTACCTAGGTGTACGCTGGTATGACATCACACCTATCGGGGGCACGGTGTTATATAATCAGAACCACGGTACCTCTTTAGGTGGTTTTCGGTTGGTGTCAAGGCTCATCCTAACGGACGGAAAAGAATGATAGCGAAAACCTCTTAAAATCATCACTAAGTAGAGTTAGTATGCCTTGGCCTACTGGGCAGATGCTACCTTCACATAGTGTTTTACGAGCAACGCTGATCTCATTCAAGGAATCCGCAGGGGAGCCACTACACTTTGAATGATCGAGACCGTCAGATCGCCGTGTAGTCGATCGTGACAAAGTAAAACCTCGACGCCGAAACCGCCATACGGAGGCATGGCGGGACATCTTCATCCATATCTTTAACCGTGGCCAACACTGTACTTATCCTCCTAGGGGCAGGCCCTATGGACACCCCCATCGGCCCAAAATAGCTGGATGGCTTCTAGAAAGGCAGATTATCCCTCGCCCGCCATTAGAGCTGTTGTCGAACGGGGGAGGAAACTAGGGATGGGCAAACAACCATAATATGACGGACACCAGAAATACGTGGACAAGATATCTGCTGAGGGGAGCTCGCGGTCCGGAACAAGGAGGAAAACTCCGATGGAGCGTAGAGCGTCGTGAGAATTTGCCTAAAGGGAGTTGCGCGAAGGCGTTGGCTGTCCTTGTCTTCATGTCTCGGTACACGCCCCTTATCACAACTACCTACATGAGCCACTCCACCCATCGGGATAATCGCTCCTGGTGGGCATACCGTTCCAAATGCCGGTCACGAGCTGACCACATCTTGCCAGTTCTCTTTCGATCAACCAGGCCACCGGAACTGGGGCCCCACTGTCGAACGGGTCGTTGTGTATCGGCGCATCGAATGGGTCCCAGACATGTCCCGAAAATCAAGACGGTGGGTTTTCTGTATCTTATTCTTTTCATGGAGGAATCTAATACACCGATAGGAACGAATGGTACGAAAGGAACCTACGAGCCTCTGGTGGCGAATACGGAACCAAGTAATGGTATGCCGATAACATATTCCTAAATCAACGAGAATACTGGTGAGGTGCTAGAGGCCTATGGTATGTCCTATTTCGAGCGAGGTTGGCGGCACTGGTTGGCCGGGCAGGATACATATAACTGGAGGCTCTGAGTCGCCGTCGAAATCCTAGCAACGGCGAGCTTTCCCCGGGTCACCGAGTTCTCGCGAGGCATAGGCTTGTAGGCAGGTATTATAGGTACACGGAATCAGCATCCCACTTTTGTTTAACCCCTATTAGACGTCATAGATCACCATCCGTCAACCTCGTGCGACAACCCAAGACAGTATGCCGACTACCTCACAGCACACGCGGCCTTCACCTCATCCAACCATTCCCCCTTCTCGATCCATCGCTGTTCCAGCCACGCTGCGAGTTCTTCGTCCAGGTGGGGCAGTTCCTCAAGAGGAAAGCGTCGCACATGAATGTAGAATCTATACCCCTCCGAGCCACTGAGATCCGACAGCTTCAAGGTTTCCCACATGCTCGGTGCCACGTGAAACCTACCCTTCTGTTGGTAAGCGATGGTAATGTCGTAAACTGCCTTCACGTGAGGTGCCTTTCTTAGATGTTGTACGGTAGCGACGAACCCCTTGGTACGGGGGTATAGCAGATGCAAAGGCTGCGGGCGGCCATTCTGACTACACCAGATCTTGGACTCTTCATACTTCTGGGGTGTGAATCGTGTAGCTTCGCTGAAACTGATCAGCCCTGTGCATAACCGTGTCAGATACACGACTCCCCACGTGCAGCTAGTAGCGCTACGGATGATGCTTGTGCTTATTATTGGGCAAAGGATGCAGCACTTACACGTCGGCCACTTCCTGCGCACGATGCCGCCGAAGACGCGTTGTAGCTCCCGTTGGTCACGCATCCAGTTCCTGGTCACCATTGGCATGCCCATCGCCCACAGACCCCAGCCGAGGAAGGGAACCATGCGGAGCTGGATCTTCGCGAACCATCGGCACTGTCCAAGCATGTCCGACCGTAGGGCCAGGGCTTGGATCATGTAAAAATCAGCCCAGGTAACGTGATTCGAGACGACAACAGCCGACTCCCTCATCGGTAGGCGCTCTCCTGAGAAGGTGATGTGGGCGCCATTGCAACCCTCAAAGATATATTGGATCCACTTCCAGACGGAGGATGCGATGAGTGAAGATGCGCGATAGACGAAGTCGGGGGCGAACGTCTTGACGGGTAGGAGGAGGGATAGCGCCACATCGGACACCGCCAGATAAAGAATCCAGGGGGCTACCAACACGACCCCCCTTAGATTGGCGGGAAGAAACCCCAACAGTCCCATGATCTACCTCTTCTATAGTACGTCAACCCGCGGGAATCTAAGGAGGAAAAACGCCGATCGGTTTTGTATACTGGCGTATCCTGGAGGGACGAAGACACACTCCTCGACCAAGCTCGAAGAGCTGCAGGTTATCACGTCGTAGCCGGCGACTCTGAGAATGGAAGGAGAGGGAAACGGCGGTTATCTCGTATTGAATGCTCGCGAATCCCAGTGCCCGGAGATCGACCCGGAGATCTGCTCGGCGATGACGCCGCCTTCTACGGGACAAGTGGTGTTGGACGCGGACAAGATATGTAGGCGCCCACGGCGATTCTGCAGACGAAGCGGCGGCTGAAAAGCAGTCGCTGCACGGCGACAGTAGACCGCGATATTGCGCAAACCAAATTCTCGTCGACAACCTAATTAGGAGAGTTTAGATCCCGACAAGATATGAGCAGCGGTGGAGTTGGTGATCTGTTGTTTATGGACTGTACACATCTTTACACATTACCTAAATACATCAGTACTTACCTAGGTACCTAGGTACCTCCTGGACAAAATGGATAACCCTTATGAGTAGTAGGGTAGGTATGATGTTAGGTGAGACATGCGTCCCGTGTGTGTGCTGTGTAGTATGGTCAGTATGGAAGGGGGTTACAACTGTAAGGATAATAACATAACACTCTCTCCAATATGCTTCCGTCCATTCATACAGGGTAAGTATGCATACCTCTCTTAAAACAGGGAATGGATCTACCGGCCTACTTACCAGCTTCTACCTTATCGGTGGTATTCCCTTGTCCTCCGGGTATGGCTTACACTTACACATTTGGCTTACCAGGCCCGGGACGGCCGGAGGGAACCTTTCGCGCGGACAGATAGCTTGAGCCTCCCTTGAACCCTCACTCACTTTCAAGGAGATGTCAAGACACGATGCTGCGGGGCCCGATGAGTATATTTGTACGTGGCCAGAGACACGAGCTCCCGCCTTTTACTCCGACGCTTCCGCTGCCTATACACTATGGGAAATGCACCGCTAGCACCGTGGTTCGATATGCGTGACCGACCGCGAGGCGCTCTCTACTGAAGCGGGGATCATCGCATACCTATAGGTACGGGTTCGTACAATGGCATTGTATCATTGCCGGTGCACTCTTCGACTCGGGACGACCCAACGCATGCGGATATCCCGGTTCGACGAATGGCTAAGAGGTAAGTAAGCGATTGTCGGTTCATACGTACACGAGCGAAACTTGACGCGCAATATAGATTCGCGATGGGTAAATCGATAAATAAATAGATAGGCGGACGAATAAATGGCGCCTCTCACCTACAAGGTACTAGTAACCACTGAATTAGCTTGAGGGAAGACGAAGAGGAGAAATAAGAAGCAATGGGACTTGGGGGTGTTTCCCCTCTCGTGCAATTATTGTTTAGCCATACCCGGGGATATCCTCAGTTCATTTCTAAGCACATGCGGTGACGCCGGCTGCCCTTTACAGCTCTGCCAGCCGAGAGGCAACGAGCGTCAACGAGCCGGTGGCTTAGACGTACCACACCGACGGTCGTACCAATTCTTAGGACAAGCCGCAGTGAGATGTACCTTAATGCGGTGTACTCCGGTAGATGTGCGCGGGTATATCAGCCCGGACTTTCGACATGTAGGTACCTCCTAAGGAGGTAATACGCTGTGTGATTCCGTCCACGATAGGAGGTACCTCTCATCTTAGGTACCTAAAACCAAGGGCCTAGAGGGTCGAGCTGCAGGTATAGGCACCCCTTATAGCAGATCAGTAGGTTACTTAACGAAGGATAGGTTCGATTCCTAACAGCGCTACTTGGTAGTCTTCGCTATTTAGCTCCCGCTATAGCATACCAGTGTGCTGGAGATAAGCTACCAGGTGTATTGTGTGTGTACTGAGTACCCGATGTACCTACTTCTAACATACGCGTTGAGAGGTACCTATGTACCTAACCCTGTGCCTTGGGTACCCTTGACGACCGGTCCAATCCGCTGCCAAATCAGGTATAAGAGATCAGTTAGCCAAGCGGGGGAGAGAACAACGACAGGGGTGAGGAATCCCCTAACCTCACTGGCCTAAGCCGATCGTGGGGCGTACCTTTTCCTCGCTGGAGAAGGAGGAAGCAGATGAAGGAAAAAAAAAAGAAAGAAAAGAAAAAAGAAAAGAAAAAGACTTGCCAGCCAGCCCATCGCTATAGAGCGCATCGCCTCAGCCAAAACGGCGGCCTCCTACCCTGCGCTCGTGAATTCACACGGCAACCTGTCTCACTTTGTATCTACTACATACCTCCCTCCCTTTAGCAACGCCTTCGCATAGCGACCGTCATCCCAAAGCGTCGCATCCAACCACCACTGGGCTTCATCCGAGCATTAACACCGGCTCTCGCGACCATCCAGAGCCTCAGAGGTTCGTGGAAAACGTGATTCGTCCCGGGTCATCCAGACATTCTTATATTGCCTCTCGGTACGTAACACCCTCTCACCCCTCCCTCCTGTTCGTAGGTATATACCTACTACGTAGTACGAAGCCTTTCCCGTCCGATTGCCTGTCCACTATTCCATCTCGCCACCCCTATCCCCTTCTAGCGCCCGCACCGCGCACGCTCCGTCGTCCGTGGTTCGCCGCGATGGTCCATGGTCGAACGACTGACCCAGGCTTCGCCAGCAGCTACTCGCCGCCGCCCACACGCTACTCTCCTTCCGACCACAGGACTCCCCTCGGCTCCCTGTACGAACACGTTTCAATGTCGTCGTCCTCGTCGCCCCACGGCGCCCCGTCCGACAAGGGCGCGCTCTCGTCGCTTAACCTCAATTTTCTCAAGTCCCTGAACGAAAAGAAGACGACCCGGGACGGCAACCCGCCGAAGCGGCGAGGTCCGAAGCCCGACAGCAAGCCGGCGTTGACACGTCGCCAAGAGTTGAATCGCCAAGCGCAAAGGTAACCACGACAGCGGCAACCACGGAATGGCGGCAGATGGTTCGTGCTAATCGGCCCTCGGCAGGACGCATCGCGAACGCAAAGAATTGTACATAAAAGCGCTCGAGGACGAGGTGCTGCGGTTGAAAGAGGTCTACAGCAACATCTCGCAAGACAAAGAAAAGCTTGCCGAAGAGAACAGACAGCTCAAGAATCTCCTGCAGCAGAACGGCATAGCGCTCGGCTCGGCCGGCGGCCTGGACGACATCGTTAGCGGCCCGAGCCCCGGATATACCCCCAGCGGCAGCGTGTCCGGGAGCTACGCACCCGGGTCCAACAATGCCTTCACGCCGCTAACGTCGATCTCCGCCCCCTCTCCCATATCGGCGTCGTCGCAGGGGGTCGGCATCCCGCCGCAGGCTCCTCGGGGCGTGAGCCGGCAGCAGCAACACCCGCCACGCCAGCCCGCCCAGGGCCGCGTGGACTACGAACAGGCTGGGATAGATTTCGTCTTAACGTACGAGAACCCCGAAAACCCCTCGCAGGCGTACATATCGCCACCCCCACAGTGAAGGATATATGTGTGTCACCCTTGCGCAGATGATAATGATGATGATATTGATGATGCTGGCACCCCGGAAGAGGAGGGAGTGGAGAAAACTTACGGGCCCTACCCGCGAGGGACGTGGTGCAGTTATGTAATCGCAGCGGCGCTGATGACGACGTTATAGGCTCGAGAGACCTTGCATGGATCACATACCCTGGCTGCTCGAGAGGGCGAGCGATGCGGGCGGCGAGGCGTGCGGCCACGCGCTCATGGCCTGCTGCCCGCCGGAGCCATTCCCCGAACTAAGCGACGAGATCCCGTTCGGGTACGCGCACAACCGTGTGGGCCAAGGAGGAGGCGGAAGGGGAGGAGCAGGGGTAGGAGGGAGCCAGCAGCTGCCACCGAGCTGCGGCACGTGGGAGCTGTCCAAGGCGGACCTGTCGACGCTCCTGGATCTCAGCAAGAAGCTAGACCTCGACGGCGAGATCACCCCGGTTATGGCTTGGGGCATGATCCTCGCCCACCCGCGCCTGGGGGAGCTGAGGACGGAGGATTTTGAGAGGCTGACCGACGACCTCAGGGGCAAGGTCCGGTGCTACGGGTACGAGCGTCGCTTTTTCCTTTCCCCCCCTTTCCCGTCTGATCGTGCGCATGTATGCTGACGATTCTCCAGATTTGGGGCCGTGATGGAGGAATTCGAAGTCAGGGATGCGCTCAACGCCATATTCCCCCCGAATCCAGAGGTGGGCATGGCGTACTAGGTGGACGGGCTGATCTCAGTGGGGGGTGAGGGTTCCGGCGTTGATACTTCTTCACAAGCTGTCTGTATAGTATCTACACGTATATCTGTGTGTGTATGTATCATCTATACTATATAGGGAGGTATGCGTGTACCCAGTGCGACATCGAGCCACGATGACAACCGTAGAAAAACATAGCAGGTCACGACGAGACGCACACGTACTTCGTGAGGGTCGACAGGTCGAAATAACCCGCTACCACGTGGTTTTTTGCCCTTCGCCGACGGTTTCGAGTCTCCAACGGCGAAGTTTACCTATAAAGACGACTAGTATGGGTATGAATTCTACGTATCTAGGAGTAGCAATGACCCTAGAGACGGATATAGGGGATATATAGACGGGCAAGGAAAGGGGCACAAATGCTGGTTAGGTGCTCGTATCTGCCGGCTACGAGGTGTGCCCTACCTAGAGGCAACATCCACCCTACCGTAGGTACCTAGGTACCTAATCCCTCAATATATGCATACATGGGTGTAAATTCACGGTATTACAATGTGCATAAACCTATGTATTTATGCGCACCCCCCTTCGGACTTTCCCATGACACCCCGCCGTTGTCAATGGCCCCACACCCCACCAAAAGGTTTCTGATTTTCTGGCAAAAAAATATTCGCTATAGACAAAATCTTGCCTCAGCGACCTACTAAGGCAAGGAAACCTAGAAAAGAGCAACAAAGCCCAAGATCTCCGGCGAATACAAATACAGCGTGCAGTCCAGAGAACCCAACGCCTTCGCCGCCCGATATGGCGTCCACTTCTCTGGCCGACCTCATCGCGGCCCTGCCCGAAGGCGACGGATGGGGTCCCCCCCCAGTAACCGATACGACTCTAAACGGCGTCCCGTACGCGCCCTTCTCGAAAGGCGACAAGCTGGGCCGTATGGCAGATTGGACCGCCGACGGGAAAGATGGCAGAGACGGCCGCGGTGGTCGCCAGCAGTACAACCGCAACTATAGAGGTATGATAGAGTTCCGGATAGGCTGTCGACTTCCGATACTGATACGGATCTCGCTATAGATCAGCAGATTTACGGCGCCGGTAGCGCTCAGCTCTTTGCCGCCCCTGTTGCCGAAGACGAGAATACGTTCTCCGTCGTCAGCCGAGAGACCACCAAGACACGATATGGCCGAGGGGCCGTCTTCACTCGTGGTCGCGGACAGCGGGGCTCCCGTGGCGACGCGAGAGGCGGCCGGTCCCAACCCCAGCGCTCTGGCCGTGGTGGCCAGTCGGGTTACGGGTATGACAACCGCGGCGGGCGTTCGAACGCGCCTCGTGGCCGCCGCTTTGGGTGGAAGGACTACGATAAGCCGGCCAGAAACCGCGATGCGTCGATCAACATCAAATCCGACTGGCAACTATTGGAAGAAATCGATTTCAACAGGCTGTCCAAGTTGAACCTCGATGCCGACGACGGTGAGGATATCGACAGTTACGGCTTCCTCTACTACTACGATCGATCCTTCGACAAGCAGCCTGTCAAGGCAGCCGAGCGGAAGCTGGTCCCCCTCGACCGTGCCGCCTACAATGTCACGACCTCGTCAGACCCCGTTATCCAGGAACTGGCGGATAAGGATGAGGCTACCATCTTCGCCACCGACAACATTCTCTCGATGCTCATGTGCTCCACCCGCTCCGTCTACCCATGGGATCTCGTGATCGTCCGACAAGGCAACAAGATCTTCCTCGACAAGCGCGATAATGCTGCGCTTGACATGGTGACGGTGAACGAGAACGCCGCGGACGCGCCCATGGAGGCGTCGGACGGCAACAAGGATAGCATCAACCAACCCGGCGCCCTCGCGGAAGAGGCCACTTACATCAACCACAATTTCGCAAACCAGGTCGTCCTAGAATCCGAGGCCCATAAGGTCGACATGAATCACGAGAACCCGTTCTACAACGCCTCAGAGGAGACGGAGCCGCCGGCTAGCAAGGCTTACAAGTACCGCCGATTCGATCTGTCAACGAGCGAAGAGGATCCGATGTATCTCATCGTGCGAACCGAACTAGACGCTGTGCAGAAGAACGCTATCAACGGAGAGGACCAGTTCGTGACCGTTAAGGCGCTTAACGAGTTTGACAGCAAGGCACAAGGTAGCGGCGGTGCCTTGGACTGGAGAGCTAAGCTAGTCAGCCAGCGCGGTGCGGTCGTGGCGACGGAGATGAAGAACAACAGCGTTAAGCTCGCCCGGTGGACGGTGCAGAGCATCTTGTCCAAGGCCGACGTGATGAAGCTTGGGTTAGTACTGGCTGCCTACTTTTCTTTTTCACTTCACTATTACCCAGCTCTCACGTCTCGTTCCGCGCGTACCCTGTTGTGCATTGGCTAACCTGCGTACGCCTCTCTAGTTTTGTTTCTCGAGCTAGCCCCAAGTCAAACGATAAGCACGTGATCTTGGGCGTGATCGGCTGGAAGCCTAAGGATTTCGCCAACCAGATGAACTTGTCGCTATCTAACGGCTGGGGTATCGTGCGCACGATCGCGGATATGTGTCTGAAGCGCGAGGACGGTAAGTTCGTGCTGGTCAAGGACCCTAACAAGTCGATTCTCCGCCTATACGAGGTGCCCGCCGGCAGCTTCGACGAAGAGGGAGAGGACGAAGCGGCTGGCGGGACGGAGGCCGTAGAGGAGTAAAGCCTCAAATCCGATGCTTTGTTTGCCAGGGCCGGGATACCTTATCAAAAAGAGGTGGGGGACTGGGAAGAGGTGGGACGGGGGTTTTGGACCGGGATGTAGGGAATTCTTGCGGGCAGGACACCTAGAGGTAGAAGGCTACACCTACCTATCTACTCAAAATATAGGTATTCTTAACTACCCATGGCAGATCCACGGGGTATGATGCCTCGCATAGAAGCAAGGAATAAGTAGGGATTATCTGCGCTGAATGTTATAGTGATGGGGAAACAGGGAATCCAGGGAATAGCAAGGAGGAAGCGATAAGGCGATAAGGATGGAGTATGGAGGGGTGGCAACCCCCTGCTCTCGCTAATACACACTTACCTAGACCTACCATATACCGTATCCCGAATACACCACATTCATTACGGTGTGTAATTACACGTCAAGATATACTTAGGTGGGTACATCATTCGTGACAGGTATTAGGAGCATATTAAGGTGTCTAAGGGCACATCCCGCTGTACCACACATTACGTACAGTGCAGTAAAGTAGAGTACAGTACAGTATAGTACGTGTCTGGTAACTCCACCGCTATCTCTCGCCCGGGCCGCCCGTCCCGCCATCCAACATAAATCACATTTTCCTCGGCCTGTATCGACGTGTTGCTGCACCCCGTACCTGGCGTACGTCTCATCCGTCCACCTATCTACCTACCTGACGTCTCACTCGTCTCGCTGTTAATCTACTCGGACGCAACCTCGCCATTCGGGATCATCGGTCTGCGCACAGTAGGCCTCTCTTGATTCGCGCGAACGACCGCATTTCCAACCTTACGCGAGCGGTACCCGGCAATCCGCGGACATACCTATCACACGCGGCCCCCGCTCGCTTCCCCCCTCCCCCCCCCCTTCCCACAGGGCGACAGGACGGACAGAGACCATGGCGCCGAAGGCGATAATAGCACCGTCGATCTTGTCGGCAGACTTCGCCCAGCTGGGCGCCGACTGCGCGAGGACCATGGACCAGGGTGCCGACTGGCTTCACGTAGATATCATGTATGTGTGTTGGATGCCACCCCGACCGCTTCGCTTACCTGCTTTGCCCGCGCAAGCCTGCTACCTACCGGCCGTCCCCCAGCGAGCCTGCTTGCACGGAAGAGAGCGCGTTTGCGGTGGACGAATAAGCAGAGGCAAAGAGGGGGGGGGGGAGGTCGAGGGAGATGATGATACGAACGCTGCCCCGTCTGCCCCTTTTTTCTTCTGTCCCGGTTTACGCGGTACGGTAGACTAACGCGAGGAGCGTCTGCGTGATTTGCTAGGGACGGCCACTTCGTACCCAACATCACCTTCGGCGCGCCGGTGGTAGCCAAGATCCGGCCGCACGTCGACAGACCCGACGCGAAGTACGGGCGCGGGACGTTCGACTGCCATATGATGATCGCCGAGGTATGTGTATGCGCTGCCGCGAGAGGAGGGAATAGGGGTAGAGATACAAAAGAGGATTCATCCGCGCCCCCTTTTACCCATATCCCGCCACTCCCTTCTCTTCGATATGCCTCTTCTCGACGTCGAAAAGGTGGCGAATAATACTCCCCAAAGGAAAGAAAAGGGGAAAATCTGTGTAAAGGAGGAGAGAGGAGAGAGGGGGAAGTGATGGGCCTAAGAAACCAAGTGCTAACTCACGGGCTTTGAGTGAGAATAGCCGAAGAAGTGGGTGAAGGAGTTCAAGAAGGCGGGCTGCGACTTGTACTGCTTCCATTACGAGGCCGCCTTCTCGAGCGCGGCCGAGAGCCCCGAGGCCAAGACGGACGCCCGCACAAGTCCCAAGGAGCTGATACGCTACATACACGACAATGGCCTACTGGCCGGCATCGCGCTGAAACCCGCCACCGGGGTCGAGGTCTTGACGGAGATTCTCGAAAACCCCAATCCCAATGAGCGGCCGGATGTACGTCTCCTCTTCTCTCTCTAACCCCCCTTTTTATTCTATTTTTAGAACCCCGCGATGCACTGGTTGCCTTTTCTGAGCATCCTCGACTCACTGGTGTGGATGATAGATGGTCTTGATCATGACGGTGGAACCTGGGTTCGGCGGGCAGAAGTTTATGGCGTCGGAGCTGCCCAAGGTGCAGGCGCTGCGGGAGAAGTACCCGGACCTCAACATCGAGGTGGACGGGGGCCTGGGCCCGGGCACGATCGACCAGGCGGCCGACGCGGGCGCCAACGTCATCGTAGCCGGCAGCGCCGTGTTCGGCGCCAAGGACCCGGCCGAGGTCATATCCCTGCTGCGGACGGCGGTGGACCAGAGGTCGGCCGGCAAGCTATGACGGAAGGAGAGGCGACGGGGTTTGCGGTGGCAGCGCAAGGCAAGGCGAAGAAGGAGAGGAGAAGGGAGTGGGAACCGGAGAAAGGGCTACGGGATGTCTACGGGACTAGCAATGCGCGAGATCGTAAATCCTCTTCCTCCAAAGGGGTACGCGGCGGTCCGGCCGACCCATCGTCATCACCCGCCCCGCCGCAGAGAACGAACGATCTAGACCAAGTTAATCATTATCTCCCCGTCTATACATAAACAAAATATCGGCTATCTGCGTGCGCGAGTACTGCGTAGTCCCTTGCTACCCCGGATCTCAAATTCGTCTGCCTTGCTGAGCGCGTAGGGATAACCCCCCAAACCTATTTAGTTTCTTGTTGCGCCATGGCCGTTCTCGGCGTGCGATCCTTACCCCCGAGAATGGTTCTTTTAGGAGGTACGCGTATAGGCGTCTGTACTAGAGGGGTAAAGGGGGAAAGGGAGGAGTGGGATTCAATGCTGCGGCGGCGATACTCTCCTGCCGAACGCTGTACCCCCTTTATTATTTGGTAGGTACTGTTACTATCACGATGCCCCCGCCCCCTATCTTCGGGCGCGCTTCGAGGCGGGAGGCCAGCGGCTCGACCGCCGGCAAGGCTAGGATGCGCCGGCGGGAACCGAAATCCCACGGGTGGAGATAGAGGGGGGCGCGTATAGGGGCGCGGAAACCTAAGCGCTGGGGGGGCACTGCGCTCGTAGTGGAGGACGGGGCGCGCCTATAGATAGATAGATAGATAGGCAAGCCAGCCTAGCGGTAAAGCGGGATCCTAGTTCCCCGTCGACGGCAGCCCCCAACCGGTGTAGCCACCGATGGGGGTTGTTGGCACTAGAGACTGGGTGGGGCTATGGGTGGTTAGAGCTCGGGGGCAGTTAACGGCGTCGATGAATCTGTCTAGGGATATTAATGACGCGGCTCATGTAAGTAGGTAGAATACCCCATCCCCCACCCCTCCCCCCTTTTTTGTGGCCCTTATCTATATAACGCCGTAACTACACGACTAATATAAGGTCGTTTCTTTTTCTCTAGAGCTATGTGTCCCACGACAATTACAGGCACCCCAACGCTCTATGCTCTCTAGTCCTTGGAATCTGTCTTCAGAAAGGGGGGGGGATAACCGGCCCCCTCTCCCCTTACGGCGGGTTGGTCGCTCGCACCGGCGATGGCTAGCCGCTCCAGACGCGTGCGTGAGCGCGAGCTGATTGGGGGCGGGCCAACTGCCGCAGAAGAGAGGGAGGGCGAGAAGAGAGAGGATATCGCTGGCAGAGTAAGTGTGGGAGAGGCGCGGTACTGGGTAAGAACAGCCAATCTCTGGGCTATATCTCAACTAACCCCCTATCTTACTGGCGTACTTTGTTCATCCTTACTGCTTGGCCGTCTTCGGAAGCAGGCTGACTGGCTAGGAGACTATGTGAACGGAGAAGGCCTAGGTCCCGAAGGGGGGGCTGTTTCCATACTTGCATACTACCCGCCCCCCATCCTTATTTGGCGCTACCGTAACCCTATAACAGCTCGAGCCGGCGGCACCTTGCGATCCGCTGCAGCACAGGGTATAAATAGACATCGCCTACTCATGTGGAAGCGTAGATATAGGAAGAGAGGGGGGGGGGGCTAGAGACTTGACAGTATGATGTGGAGGGGAATCGCCGGTTTCTCGATGCAATAAGGGCAATGGCGATAACTACCATAGGCTTCGAGAACAATGAGATGAAACTTATCATAGGTTAGAGTAGGAGGATAAGACCGGGCTCATGGAGCGGGACCGAGACCGGAACCGGGTATGGGGCCCGAAGGCTGTGGCCGCCATACGATGTGATCATTATAATATAGGAGCCGGGAAATGGGCGGACCTAGTAACGGAGAAGTCTAACTACCTAAGCATCAAGGCGTACGGATACTAGAGGAGGCACGTATAGGCCCCGACTATCGGGGGATGGGTGAGTTGTTGGCTTTCCACGGCATCCGGTCCCCCAGCGCGCGCCACGAACCCCCCCCCCCCTCCCCTTCCCCGGATGTCCGCATTAGCGAGAATAGAGTAGTGAGAGAGCGAGCCTACTCTCGCACCACGAGGATGCGGCCACAGAGCCCGTTTCGCTTAGCCGCCCGTGCGGTTTCACCGGAGGCTTAGAGGGGAAAGGGGGTCTGGCAGGGCACACATTGCGTGATCTGCCTATACGTATGCAGCCCGACAGGGAGACGGACGGGCCTCTCGCGAGCCGGGACTGGTGGGCGCTTGATCTGCTCGTCCCTTATGCGGCCGCAACTAGTCAGAGTAGGGGACGCAGCGATCTAGGCGGGTTCCCAGGTAAGTAGGTATGCTGGCGAGACCGATCCTGTATTCCGGGTAGGACTTCTGGACGCATAGCGGGCAGCGAAAGGAGAGCTGATAGGCGTGGTTCCCGAGCGAGGTGAGCGAGCGCAGTAGCCGTGGCGGCAACGAGAGACATCGGGGGACAGGATTGGGGAATAGAACAGGACGCAGGACTCTGTCGTCGTCGTCGTCGTCGTCATCGAGGTTTGCGTGGGATATTCGAGGAGGGGCGGTGGATGATGGTCTTATAGGTGCGCATACCTGCAGGTATACTGGAGGTACCTATACAGCTACGTTATAGAGGTAGGTATATTCAGATATAGGAGGCAGGAACCCACTACAACATGGGGAAATGCATCCACTCAAATAGGCACATGCCTACCTTAGGTACCTGTAGGTACACGTAGACGCTCTGTAGATAGGTATATGTACCTCTCTCCTAACGCATAGGTAGGTATAACCTAGCCTACTCATAGTGGAAGTGGCCGACGGTCCTATGTGGGTCTGACGATGCGGGACCCACACGAGCTCCGACGATGGCGGGAGGAGAGAAAGCGATAGAGAACGGGAGGGGAGCAAGACGATTTTCCACTGGTTTTCTTTTTTCTCTTCTTCTCCCTGCCAACTCCCTAGAGGTATCCGTAGCTTAGGTATAGGTACCTACATTTGGTTTTTCCCCCATAGCAAAAATAAGACAAAATAAAACACAAACCAAAAATACAGCCGACATAGGTATAACACCCCCAACAACCCCCCCTCCTAAAAAAAAAAAGAATTATTCAAAGACAGGCCGTGGGATCGCCAACCAAACCATCCGACAACTTCGCACAACCCACCTCACCACGACGCACACCCACTACGATTTTCGTAAAATAACCCACGGACTCTCTCTGCGCTCCCTACGCACTTTTCCCATTGGCACACACAACGCTACCCAGCACGAGTCCAGCTCGACCGCCCAACATGAAGCGCAGAGCCCAGTCGCCGCCTGTCAGCCAGAACCCCGTCAAGAAGTCCAAGACTTGTAAGTCGCCTGCCCGGTCTATCCTCGCATCGTATGATCGAGCCGCAAATTTTTATGCTAGCCAGCGCCCGCTGACCACCGCCGCAGCGCTGGGTAGCGACGAGGCCAGGAAGAGCTTTAGGAAGGGCCTCTTCGACCGCGACGTCCTGGACCGGTATACGCGCGCCTACGCCAAATCCGCCCCTTACAAGCACAGCGTCATCAGCGAGCTGATCGACGACAAGCTGCTGCGGGCCGTGCGCGAGGAGATCAAGAACAACGTCTCCTTCACCCCCAAGGAGACCGACATCTACAAGATCCACCAGTCCGGCGACCTCGCCAACCTCGACGGCCTCGACGACGACGCTCTGGCGAAGCTGCCCTCGCTGCTTGCCCTCCGCGACGCCATGTACTCCCAGTCCTTCCGCGACTACGTCGCCCACATCACCGGCTGCGGCCCCTTGAGCGGCACCAAGACGGACATGGCCATCAACGTCTACACCCCCGGCTGCTTTCTCCTGTGCCACGACGACGTGATCGGCAGCCGCAAGGTTAGCTACATCCTCTACCTGACCGACCCCGACATCCCCTGGAAGCCCGAGTGGGGTGGCGCGCTGCGCCTGTTCCCCGTGCAGACCATCGAGGGCGAGGACGGCGAGGTGGCCAGGATGCCCGCGCCTGACGTCACCAAGATCATACCCCCGGCTTGGAACCAGCTGAGCTTCTTCGCTGTCCAGCCCGGCGAGAGCTTCCACGACGTCGAGGAGGTATACCACGCCGAGACGAAGGAGCAGCTAGAGAAGGAAGGAGGCAGGGTCCGCATGGCTATCAGTGGCTGGTTTCACATCCCGCAGGTCGGAGAAGACGGATACGTCCAAGGCGCCGAGGAGAAGCTGGCCAAGAACAGCGGTCTGATGCAGCTGCAGGGAAACCCGGACCAGTACGACGCGCCTCGGGCCCAGCCGGTCGCCGTCGAGCAGCCGGGGTCGAGTCCCCAACAGGAATTCGACGAGGCCGACCTCGAGTTTCTGCTCAAGTACATGGCGCCCACCTATCTCACGCCCGACACTCTCGAGCAGGTCCTGGACCGCTTCGAAGAAGACTCGAGCATCTCGCTCCCCAACCTCCTCGGCAAGAAGTTCGCGAAGAAGCTGCACGACTTCGTCGCCGCGCAGGATCGCGCCCCTCTGCTCGAAGATAGCGCCGAGATCGAGAAGGGCCCCTGGCGCGTCGCGAAGCCGCCCCATAAGCACAGGTACCTCTATCTCCGGCCGGGTGGTGCCGCCGCCGCCACTACGAACGGGAAGTCCAGGGGGGACGAGGAAGACTCGCCCATCCGGGAGCTCCTCGAGGACTTTCTCCCGAGCCCGCAGTTCCGCCGCTGGCTGCAGATGGCCACGGGCTGCGTGATCGAGAGCCACGACTTCGTCGCGCGGCGCTTCCGGCGCGGTAGGGACTACACGCTCGCTACGGGACACGAGGGCAAGCCGCGGCTCGAGGTGACGTTGGGCATCACGCCCACGAGCGGGTGGGGCGACGAGGAAGACGAGCACGAGGGTGAGGGCAATGGCGATGGCGATGGCGATGGCGACGACAGCGATAACGACGAAGAGGAAAAGGGAAACGGGCCCTCTCCCTCGTCGTCGTCGTCGTCGTCCTCCTCCTCCTCCTCCAAGAAGAAGAAGGGAAAATCCGAAAAAGAAGAAGAAGATGACGGCGACGAGAACGACGGGAACGAAGAAGAGGAAGGGGGACGCGAGGGAGACGCCGGCGGCCAGGAAGTGTACCTGGCGGGGGACGAGGACGCGGCGGACGAAGACGCGGCGGTGTACAAGTCGGGGGTGATCGGGCCGGACGGGGACAACGTGCTGTTCTCCCAGGCGGCGGCGTGGAACCGGATGGCGGTGGTGCTGCGCGACGGCGGGACGCTGCGGTTCGTCAAGTACGTGAGCCGGCGGGCGCCGGGCGACCGGTGGGACGTGGCGGGCACGCTCGAGGTCGAGGAGCAGGACCTGCCGCCGGACGAGGAGGACGAGATGCGCGGCGAAGAAGAGGGCGGCGGCGGCGGCGGGAGGGCGCCGCCCGACGGCATCGACGAGGAGGAAGACGAGTGGAACGGGTTCCCCTCGCCCTCGCCCGACGACAGCGATTCCGACTGACCTCGTCGCGCACGCTGCTGCGGCCGGCGCCGGATGCTGGCCTGTCTAACCCGTCTCTTACCTGTCTAGTCTAGTCTTTTTTTCATGTAGGTACATCGGCCGCACGGGATTCGTTCTGCATCGCGAGGGAGATCGGGAGTTAGGTGACTCGGGGAGTTTTTGTTTTTGTTTTTTTTTATCTGTCACGTAGCAATTGAACCAGCCTATATAAGCCTACATACCGCAAAGCGTGAATGTAGGCGTCTACGTTTTACGTGACATTATCTATATATCTATGTCTTCAACCCGGTTCGCTATTCTCTTCTTTTTCTATCCGGACACACACACACACACACACATATATATATTTCACGAAGCCCCCTTCCCGCCCCGTCTCCGTCCCGCGAGACCGCGAACGAGAAGGCATAGTACGCTCAGCGGGTTTGTTTACCTACGAATTTCTCTTCTACGAGCGGCCTCGCGCGGGGGCGACGCAGCGGCAGGGCGAGGAGACAAGAACGGGCGTTAGAGAGTTGGTTGGTTGTTGCCTGCTGCCTGTGACCCATTCGCCGGGCCTCTCACTCTGTTCCTATACGCCTCCTCTCCAACGCGTAGAGAGTAGGTAGGTAGTCGGTAGCAGGCGCACACGTATACGCTCGCGCACCTCTTTATCCCGGGCATATCCGGTGCGCATCTATACCTACCTTGACTTGCGCGCACTACACGGCTGCCCCCCCCCCCCCCCCCGCAAGACGCGCCAATTTGACGTCGTGATAATCATGCCGTCGTATAGTCTACCTAACTTACCTACACACACGTTCACACGCGCACCTCCTCTGCACGGATACGTGTGCTCGTGACAGATGATGAATAGCGGTAAACTCGGCCTACCCGTTGCGCCGTTCCCGTCCCTGGGCCCGTCGAACCGGGCCCGCAACGCCTTCTCGTCTGACCCCGAAAATGTGCGCACGTTGCGCGTACACGGACATGCCCGCCCCTAGACCCGACGAACCCCGTCGATGCGTATATATGTATATGCTTCCAAACCCCTCGCTGATGTGTGGTAAAAAAAAAACCCGCCGAAAAGGACAGAAAGGAAAAAAAGAAACGTGACCGCCCAACCGGGCCGTCCTCTGCTCCGTCTAGTCTAGTCCAGATTCCTCAGCTCGTCTATGCTCCTGGTGCTGACGAAGGCGTGCTTCAGGAAGTGAAGCCAGATCTCGGTGTCCTTCTTCTTCTTCTTGTTCTTGTTCTTCTTTTTCTTGTTCTTCTTCTCGCTCTCGAGCCCGTCACCCGGCGGGTCTCGCTCGTCTTGGTCCTCGAACCGCTCGGCGAGGTCGTCGGAGCTGCTCGACGAGGTCTGCCCGATCCGATGGGCGAGCCGCAGCAGGCTCTTCACCGTCAGGTCTTGCAGCCCGTAGATCCTGTCGTCGAACGTGGTGTACTCGACCTCGAAGCTGAACTCCTTCGGCCGGGGCACGTCGGACTGCGGCTTCTTGTCCTTGTGCTTCCCCGCGTTCCACCCCGCCGACGACGCCCAGTCGGCTTCGCGGCCGTCGCCGATGTCGTTGTTGATGTACGTCAGGTTGGCGTAGTACTGCGTGAAGCCCAGGAACGTCAGGGGCTGAGGGAAGTACGCCGGGCCTGGTAGGGCGTCCTCGGCCGGCGGCTTTGGAATCCCTACACGGGAGGTCTTGAGTCCCCCTCTGCCCTTCTTCTCATCCCGATTCCTTTCCTCGATCCTGACATCTTGTTCGCTGCGCAGTTCGAGGTTGCGCGATCCGGGCTCGAGAACCAAGGATTTACCACCGGCGGGCCTGTTGCGGACTGTGTCCACCCAGGTTGGGGTATCTTCGATTCCGGTGATGTTGTACTCGAAAACTCGAAGAGAGGGGAAATAGTTTGGAACCACACTCGGGCTAATGAGAGAGAGCTGGTATCGCTCCGCCCACGGGCCGCCCAATTTGTCCTTGTTTTTCCCGTGCTTCTTCTTTTTCTTGCCCGTCTCCTCGATGGCTTTGCCGATGGGGTTCGGCAATTTAGACCAGTTATCCCGTAATTCCATGAGGTAGTCCGTGCTCGACTCTACCGAGAATTCTTCCTCCATGGACTCGCGGATGGCTACCGTTTGGTGAGATTCGGGTTCCATCAATGCGAGGTCGATTTCATGCGTATCTTGCAGCAGGAAATGGTCGATGTTCATATGGCCATACAAGGAGCCGGCGACCACGTCCCGATACTGCTGCAGCCAGAGAGTATATTTCTGCCAGCACGTCTCGTCCCAAAGCTGCTTTCCCTCAGTTCTTGCGGGAGGTACGTGCCCCATGAGAATGGCCTTCATGCCACGATCTCGGAGGAACTGCAACTGGACCTGGAGCCACTCGAAATGCTTGTACCCGGGTTCCGACGGTTGTGTACAATCATCAACCCCCGCATTGCGGTCAAAGAAGTACATGGTGTTGAGACTGAAGACGGCAAGCTTGTCTGGGATGACCTCGGCGAAGAACCAGCCTCCATATTCAAAGGTGTGCCGCTGAGCTTCGGGGATGAAGCTCTGCCAGATGTCATTGTAGTCTCTGAGAATCTGGTTCGGGCCCGGCATCAAGATGTTATGTGGGTAGATATCATTGTTACCGAAAGTTGGGACAACGGGGACCACCAAGCCCTCGGTATCCGAAAATGTGCTGACGAACGAATTTGCGATTCTACGGTTCATAGCTAGGATGTCCGCATTGCGGCGGGGTAGTCGCTCGTCGCTGTCGTGGCGGGCCGAGTCGCCGGTCCAGACGACGAAATCAATAGAATCTTTCAAATTGGCGGCGACCCAATTGAGGGTCGCATCGACCAGCGCTAAGGGCGAATCGCAATCCGAAGTTTCGGCGCCGTAAGTGCCAGCAGGGCCAACGCCTCGGTGACATGCGATGTTCTCTTCGGTGGACGTGTGCACCTTGTAATCCTCGTCAGGATGCAGATCTGCACACGAGGCGCGAGACATCCATTAGTCTTCAGATCCGAGATGAGAGGGTGGTATGCGGTGGGTGCGTTGCAACTGTACCTGTAATATGAAGGAACCGACCGTGCAGCTTGCGGTGCGGTGCGGAGTGGTGCTGGTAGCTGCCGTCACGGTCTGCCTGCAGGACGTGTTGAGATCCGGTAGTTGGCGCGCCTATGACGAGGGTCGCCAGCAGGCCGGGAACCGCCCACCACAGTGCGCTTCTGGGCGTCATGTTCGGCCGTCTCTGAAGCTCCAAGAGCGGTAGTAGGTGGTGGACCGGGCGGAGCGCATAGGCGAAGAGGGTGAGAGTGGAGGAGATGGCCGCTTATAACAGCGCAGACCAGAAGAGACAAAGTTCTCAGAAAGAAGGAAGGGAAAAAGCCACTAAATTGCCTCGATCGAATGCCGTAGTCGTCGCACGCAGTTCCGGGCAACCTGCCAGGCCGGGATCGTCGACAGTATTGCAGCGTGGTGAGCTGGGCTGGCAGGGGAGCCAATAAAACCCGTCCCCAGAACCAGGGCGCGAATCTCTTCAGCTCAACAAGCCCCTGGTGGATCGCGGGCGATATTAGCAGATCGATTCTGCTCTGGTATGGCACACCTGGGTCCTTCACGAAACACGAAGAACACCAAATGTCGCACGAGATCTCTCTAGTCGTCCCCCTCTCTGTCGGACGGCGAACAAAGGCGAGCCGCGGGCGTCTTTTTAAAAGATTTGGCTGTGCTCAGCGAGACACCCTCCTTGAGGCTGAAGGCTGACGTCGGGCGACGAATCACGTAGCTAGATTTCGCACGTGTAGAGAGTCAATCGCAGAGAAGACAGCTCGGGCAATGAGACCTCGTCCAAGTCCGCCACACCAAACCCACCCAGTGCCATCCACGACCGGCACACGACGCCGTCCCTTTTCCCCCGAGGAGCACACCCACCTGCTACTTGGGAGGCTAGTATCCTGTCTACCTGCCGGGGTCATCTGCATCCGAGTTGACGCACAACAGGATCATCAGATCTTCTAGCGGGGGCGATGGGAGAGACGGCGGGCGACGCGGAGATGGGGTAGGTGACTCTCTCTCTTTCGTTTTAATCTCTACTATCTTGCCGGGCCCAACACGCAAGGGAGCGCCAAGTCCAGACAGCCATCCGAATGTTGACCGCAGGTCATCACGCGTACTTACTTTAAGCAAGAAAAAAAAAGGGTTCGGTTATCCTTAGTCCTAGCCTAGCCAGGTTGGCTGGGGGTGACGTTAGATTCCGCGTCTCCCAGCATGATGCAACCGGCGCAGGCCGAGTCCGCAGTCGACGACGACGACGGGCATCCAACGGCGAAGAAACGTGTCCATAGAGATTCCCTTGGCCAGACTCAGGACAGCAAATGTTGAATACAACGTGAGGATGCTCCCGTGATTTGCAAGCGTAACACAACATATCCCATAGAAAATGGACATGGCATTGTAGATGATGAGGACGAGAAGGTGGTGCAGACAGCGTTGTGATTTTAGTTAATTATTCCAGTCCACCCCCGGAATAAGAATAACTAAAACAAATAGAATAATAACTAAACTAAACTAAAAAAAAATTTCTACGGAATAAAAATAAACTAAATTAACTAAGGATTAACTAAATTAACTAAAAAAAACTAATATTTTAAATATTTTTAGCATTTGTAATAATTGAAATTTGAAATTTTATTTTTCTTTAAAAATTAATATATATATAATACGTTATAAATCGTTTATATAGATTATTAATAATCTAAGAAAAATCTAAAACTTTTTTTTATTAAATTAATAAGTAGAATATAAAGATTTTTAAAAAGTTTTTATATATTTCTATAAATTTCTACAAGTTTCTTTAATATTCTTTATATTATAAATTAGGTTAACTTAATAATAAATCGAACTTTCGAGATTAAATTACTTATTATTATAAAGATCTCATTATGTAATACTAGAAACTTCTAGAAATATTGCTATATATATAAATATTTAATAGTTTTCTAAAGGTTTTTATTTTCTCCCTTTTAACCTTACTTTATCGTACGAAACTCTAAGCTATATAATTTGATTTTTATATCATTATAAACTTTAACTTCGGCTCTATCAACTTATATATCAAATCAATATTATATAATGAATATTAAGAGTTCTTCGATCTTAAAAAATATTATAAATAAATCTCGAAATTGATTATTACCTAATACAGTTAAAGAGCTTATTTTATTAAAGAATTCAAAGGTTAAAGATGTTAAAGAGTTTAAAAAGTTAATAGAAAACGAAGAACATATGGAGGAAGAGATAGAAAATAACAAAGATTGATTTTTTTTAAATATAATAAATATAATACTAAGTTAAGTATTAAAGTTATTAGAGTTTAGGTATCTAAGTAAAGGTAAAGGGTTAGGGTTTAGGTAAGAGTTAGTATTTAAGTAACTGATGGTTTATTAGCGATCGGAGGACATTACAAGTACCCCCGTACCTATGTAGCATATAAGGGATAGCCTTCCTACCTCGAGTCATAGGTAGATACCTCCTAGGGTAAATACCTTAATATAACTAGTCTTACCTATTTATTTTATATTGTTTTAGTTTACTTACTTTATTACGTACGTATACCTACTAATACTAATTAGTATTACTAGATTTAGTAATATAGATTAGTAAGGTTAAAAGAGTTACTATTATTTTAACCGGAAGAATTATTACCGTAGTAATATAAGCGATAATAATAAATTTCTTCTATAAATATTAACCTTCTACCGACCCTACGACCCTCCTTCTCCTCCTAGCTTTATTAACCTTCTATCGTTCCCTACGAATATATCCCTCTTCCTATTCCTTTTAACTTTTTCGTTAATAAACGGATAAGCCGTTTTTCTTTTTACCCCTTATATTAAATAATAGCCGTCGTTATTATATTAGACTAGAAGAGGCTAGAAATATCGGCCTAGGGCGTTACCCGAGGCTAAGGGTAATAATCGTAGGTTTCCTAAGTATTATAGTTACCGCTACGAGTACCTTAGGAAGAGGATTAACCCGATATCCCCGAATTTCTAAAGGCAAGGGAAGAACTAATAAAATTCCTTAAATTAATCGTAGGCCGTCCCTTTAAACTACTTATCTAGTAATTCGATTCCATAGCCGTATAATAGGAAGAGATTAATCCCGTAACGGTAACCTCCCGCTAGAAGTTAACCTAGGTACTTATAATACTCGCCGAGTTTAAAAGCTCCGATAGTAATATCCTTAACGTACGTACGACCGAGGAAATAATAAGGGAATACTATAATAAGTTCCGGGGCTTTATTATCGATAACTTCGAGTAAATGCCTCCCTTATTACGCGTAGGTTTAAGAATTATTCTAATGAAGTAAGGGATTTACGTCGGTAGGAGTAACGCTAAGTATTCTAGGGAACTCGTTAACTTAGTTTAGGAGGTTAAGCCGTTAATATAGGATTTTAAGGAATTAGAAATAGCTAAAAAGAAATAGCCTAACGCATTAGCTTAACGAATGCTAATAATTAAAACTAACTAAAGAATAGTCTACCCGGAGCCGCCCGTATCCGCCCGATTAAGTCTTTCTAGACTACCTTCGTTATAGTTTAGTTAAGCGGTAATAAAGTTATTAAAGTAATAAATTCCCGCTTCTTTTCGAAGAGCTACTTACGGAGGTAACCTTCCGTTTATTCCTATTAATCCGTAATTCTAAATCCCGTTTAAATATAGCTTCTTCGGTTTAAACTTTCCTACTATACCGGAACGGTTATAACCGATAGGATTAACGGGATTAATAAAAGGCTAATAGGAATCGTTACCTAACGAACCTCCTTTAGTACCTCGTATTAAATAGCCTAAACCTCCTTCCCTTACTTTTCCTCGGGCCGATACCTTATCGACGCTTAATAACCCCCCTTTTAAACCGGACGTACCTCGTTAATAAGTACTACTATAAGTACCCCCGTAGGTACTACCTCGACCGCTATAGCCGTAGCCGCCGTCCTTCGCGCCTTCCCCTTCCCCTACCGGATACCCGTATCCGTTATATTTATCCTAAGGATATCCTTTATACGGATACTAAGTATACCCGCCGTATCCGCCGTACCCGGTACTAGGCTTTTAAACTAGATATAGCCTATATAACCCGTAGATATTACTATCCCTCCTTCCTTTATTATATTTAATAATAAAAGGAAACGAGCGAACTAAAGAACGAACGGTAATCCCCTAAGGAAACTAATACGTCTTCCCCGGGCTAGGACTTAACTAGACCTTAGGATATTAACCCTTAATAAGTTACCTAAACGAAGGATAAGGACCCGGGTAAATCCTAAGAGGTTACGCTTTCTCTTTTCCGATGGGATAATCGCGTACGCCGGGAATTAAATCCCTTCGTATACCAGAAGCCGAACTACTACTACGGTAATCTCCTATACCTATTAGGAATTAGTAGGAATAAACCTATTACGATATTCCGCTTATTAGAGTACTAAACGAACTATGCCTTCCGACGATCGTAAAATACTTTAAGAAGGCGTAGAATAAGGAGAATAACTATACGGAGGAGGTATACGATATCCTAGAGGATAAGTTTAGGTTTTTTTTAAATATATACTATACTACCGGGATCCGATAAATATAGTTTTACGTTATTTTTTCGATAATTTTATTAGGACGAATAGCTATTTACTTCTTATATAACGTATTAAGATATTAATGCTTCGCCGATATATATCTCGCTATAAAACGTTATTTTAATATAGAATAAAATAAGGTCTAGTATTATTACGATTAAACGGCTATTACCTTCTATAGTACGAAGGCCGAGAAGGGTAACGAGGATAAGTCGGACCTAGAGGTATTCTAAGCTATATTAAATAAGCTCGCTTTATATTAAAAAGCTCTCGGCCCTAACTTTAAAGGCGAGTAATAACTTATCGCGGTAGTTTACCGAGCTTACCGTAACGTTCCCTAGCTTTAGTACGCTTTCTTCGAACCATCGGTTTACTTTAAAGATATAGCTAGTAAA